AACGAGGGAAAATTTTTAAATTTTTAAGGGTAATGTCTTCAACTAGATACAATTTGTGATCTTTTGACGTATTGTTAAAAGAAATCGGTCCAGTGAGAGCTGAGAAAAAGTAGTGACAGACCAAAAAAAAATAAAAAAAAAATAAAAAAAAAAATAAACACATCATGGTAAAATTAATACCTTCTCAGCTTCGCATCGAAGCTAAAATAGTAAAAGATAAATATGCTTTAAGGAGCTGCAACTCCTTCAGTACACCTGAATTTAATATCTGGTTGATTGGCAATGGCGTTAAAAATGTTCAGTACCAAAATTTGAGTGGAATTCAAATTTTATTATCATTTAAATATCTTATTTTATTTATTACTATTAGTATAAATTTATTATATTTTTTACAAATTTTATTTTATAAAATTAAATTTTTCTATCAATAATAATGAAATTTAATATAATTCAAAGTAAAATTTGTATATTCTAATATTGTATGACTAGGATTCGCCTTCTAGCTAGAAGTTGCCTAAAAATATATTGATAGCGCTGGTTCAAGTGGGGCAATCGCCCATATTCCTCTTAAACACGCCCCTGGTATTCACAATAATTATTAATATTATAATAATTGAATTAATATTATAGAATAATTACAAAAAAAAAAAATTGAATTTTGATAAGAATATTGGTTACTGTGATTTGATGTTGGACAGTACAGTTGTCATAGATAGATCCCAATTTTTACGATTAAGTCATATACTAATACATCATTTAAGAGATAAATACAATTAATAATACTTTACTATTCTGATAATGAATGTACATACTTGTATACTTATAACCGTCCTGAAATTTATTTATAACTTATCAAACATTCCTTGACAAAATATATTACTATGCGCAAATGCAAAATCGTATCCAAATATAAACTCTTTGTTGACATAAAAAAAATGATTTCAAAACGAAAAAAATACATTTGAACAGTAAGCTGATTATAAAGCCTAAGTTCAAACATAAGATATATATACAATAAACTTGATTAAATATCAACATATTTTGTATTATAAACATATTCGAAAGAAATTAACAGAAAGTATCTGTATACTAAATAAACTAAACAAAATATATAAAAATAACAAACATAATATTAAAACATAAAGATAGTAAATAATTTCACCCAATCAATTGGTATATGAAAACTATAACATGTATTAAATAAGAATTAAATATAAAAATTGATTTAAAAATCCTTTTTTTTTACAAATTTATAGTTAAAATATATAAATTTGCAAAAAGGAGTCGGTACTCTTATTCAAAACATGCACGTACACTTAAAAAAAAGCTCGTAGAACGGTAAAAAATGAATGGATTGAATAAATTTTTTTGTGATAATTCAAAATGTTGTGCCGATCTGGTAAACATTTCAAACCTTAAGTCCTAAAACGATGGCATCAGTAAACGTTTTTTCGAAAACGGTCGAAATTTTATAACGCTTGAGGCTAGCGTCAAAAATTTTCCAATCTTTGCGCCAATAATTTTTTCGGAGTTTCGTGACCGACTATTTTCGTTAATAGGTTTTATATTGGGTAATGCCTGTATATATTATTAGTACAATGTGGTGACGTAGTGCATTTTATTCCGGGGTGTCCCAATGTCTTGCAAGCTAAGTCTAACTGTCTAAAACAATTTCTTAATTGGGACGTATACTTGCCGTGCTTAGTAGTAATGACGTGATTAACAGCCGGTGGGTACCCCAAGACGTTCATCGTATTCTCTAATTGTAAAAGTGTAGGTGTAACCATTTTTTTTTATTAATATCTGATTTTTTTTTCTCTCTTTGCTCCTTTTATTTATAGACGAGGTTTTTTGACCGTTCGGATTTTTTGCCTCGTATCAACTTAATTTTTATTTAATAAAATCCCTTTCATTTAACTTAACCATAATTTTTTTTGCGTGTTCCATCTACAATAGACTCGTGTAATTTTTTTTCTTTTAAAAATAAACTTCCTCTAGTTTATAAGGTACGGGCAACGGCCTTGTATAAGGTCATCCCTGATCATCATGGTTTGTGACAACCGTCACGAGGTTTTGGTGTACATCAACTATTAACGACTAA